CGCAGAGAATGTTCCCGAGTTTGGCCTCAGCAAGGCTTCAGGCAACGACCGCATCGCCGGTATCGAATCATCCCCCTGATCAGGAACGAAGCTCAAGTACAGCGGACTCCTCGGCAACCCGTTCTTGAAAAGCGTCGGCAGCAAACTGGGACTGAGGATCTCTCCCTTGTCTTTCAAATCCAATTCGAACACGGAGGAGCTCTCAGACCGCGGGCCTTTCCTGGCGATGACACTCCAGGGTCGGGCAATAGAGGACCTGCGCCGGTTGCCGTGTCTATCTTCGCGGCCGGTCAACACCAGGGATACTGAGGAGTAAAGACTTGCGCGATCGTCGGCTTCTTCAAGGTGTTGGGGTACGGAGGTCGAATGATATATGCTTGAAACGAAGGGCTCCAGAACAGAGACCCATTGCGTGTACTGTTGGGGCACGAACGGGAAGAAAAAAATACTGCATTCCGAGTTATTTCCCCAGGTAAGTTCAAAGTATTCTATAATTCGTCGATCAGATACGGAAGTGCTTTAAGATGGAGGAGCTGTAGAGTTACCTGTGTCGATGCAGTGTAAAGACTGCAGAGTTTTGGTGGGTATTGAGAAAACAATGGTCAAGGGTATCCTTTGCGACAGCGCAGATCCTACTTGCCACGGTTTGACTGGGTATTGGGTATCATTATTGATCGCCATATCCCCTCGAAACCGTTCCGTGCAGCACACCAACATGGTGTCAAAAAGAAACACCGAATAATGTTTCCCAGAAATCAGGTCCACCATCAGGCGGTCGTCGAAGAGGAGCGTGCCCAGCGGCTCTTCGTCGAGGATATTGGAAGGGCCGAGTCGAGGGCCGAGGATTTGGAAACACCACATTGTGCGTAGCTCGCGACCGACTTCGCAAAGTCCTTCTGCCAGCTCGTTCGTTTCGTGTACCATGATGCAGAGAGAGTCATACGTGGTGGGCTCTGTTGGTGGTGTAACGTCCAGGATAGCCTAGAAAGCTTTTCAGTCGAAGATTCAGGGGCTTAAGTTGTGTATATACCGTGAGGATGGTATGATACTCTGAAAAGCGATGCAGGATGTCTCCGAGGTTTATTAGCAGGTCATCCGCGTATTCTGCATGTATGCCCTGGGGGAAATGATGTTGAGCTCAATATGAACCGAGTTGTCGATTAGTTGACCCACATTGTGTTTGAGTTTTCTCAGAAAATCCACGAAGGGAAGATAATTTGCGACGATAGATCGGTACGAGCTGATGATCTTGGTCCGGAAAACCTTGTTCTACCCTGGCAGCATGAGATGGCAGCTCGCATTCATAGAGAAAAGTGAAGGCTATCTTACATGAAACGCAAATATGTGATCCCAATGATCGTGTCTAGAGCTTTTGGTGGCCTCAATGAGGGATTTCAGGACGTGGTCATGGTAGGGTATCAGCCTCGAGCAATTGACGATGTATCCTTCAAGTGAAGGATGAGCGGCCGCGGGATCGTCGTACAGCTTTGAAGCAGATTCCTACGAAGGGATGGTGAGAATGCGTCAAAAGACGACTTTGGGTGCTTTCGAACCATACCGCTGTCAAAGCAAGCTTTGATGTGTGAATGCGCTCGCTGTCGGTCAGTTGTTGGATGAGGCTTGCTCTCCTTGCTGGGGATCCATGCGGCACAGTGAATATCCCAGGATACGATTCTTGAAGAGCGACAAGAACACGATTCACAGTCCGGAGAACCTCGAGAAAGACATATCGTAAGAACCTAGACAGTGATGAGGAAAGGTGATTGTGCTCACTCGTGAAAAGCCGGCATTCGTTCCACTCGTAAAGTCCTCCACCTTCATCACCTCTCCAAACGACAGCCTGCCTTGCGACTCCAGGAACTGCACCCGCTGGATGAAATGCGCAAAGAACCGCACGCGCTCAAGAATAGTCAGACCAAAATCAAAGTCCTCCACCGTCACAGCCAAATCCCTCGGCGTAGGCGATCCCAGGAGTTCAAGGAGCGTGTTCAACGGCGCTCCGAAACACAGGCAGTCCCAGAGCAAGAAGTAAGGAGAGTCGACCCGCCGGTGTACATAGTCGCGCGTGTACTCCAGCCACGGCCTGAATTCGAAGATGAGCTGGAGGCGTGCGAGAGTCTTGAAGCTCTCCAGGCGTAATTGATCTGTGGGTGCCTTTGGCGGGTGTAGGATGTCGATCGTCATTTCAGTAGGTGCCAGCCGTTTTTGCACACGATTAGCCTGCGTTCATTGTGGGTTACGGGTGAGGAAGTGATAGTTAAGTGGGAATTCCGGCAGGCACGGATGGGCGGAGCTTATTAGGTGAAATCAATGATCAAGGGGCTGATTCTCTCGAGTGTGGCATCTGCTCGGCATTCGGTGTGAGTGCATTGTTGCAGAGACAGAACGCTTTGCTTTGCTGTGCGTTGTCCTTCTCGGTGAACATGCCAATGGGTTGCGAAGGAGAGTAACAAGGGCTCTCACGATGGAAACTGTCAAAGCTATGATCATGCTGTGCCATGCAGAGGCAATACAACCTATCCATGCAATATTCATTCTGTGCGGATAAAGGCAAACCCCTCTTAGCACATACAACCGAGTGGAAGGCTATGTGTTATGGGGGGGTTATGCCCAGTAAGAACCGGTTCCGCGCTGTGCTGGAGAAATCTGCTACAATTCCTCCCTTTGCAGATTCGACTTTCGTTGAAGCGGGAATTTTCTGCGTGAATCTTTGTGTATCCGTGTGGTCCTGTTCGTATCTGAGCTATATAAGCCTGTGTGGAAATATGTAGGGTTGACGGAGAGTCCTCCGAAGAAGAGGGAGGAGGGGCTACGCCTTGTGCGTGCTGGCATGCAAGAACCTGCAAGAACCATGCTGTGATTCTGAACATTACACCTAACCTTCAGTTTTATTCGTCACTCCCTACGACCATAGCACAAGAGTTATACCGTCTAACCTCACCTTACCACTCCTCCCATATGTCTGGACCAACAAGCACATGGGGCCTAGCCGCTTCAATTGCCTCGTCAACAAAAGATTCCTTCTGCTTCAAAGCCTCCTCGTCTTCGTCCACTGCAAGAGCGATTATCAATGCGAGATGACCGTCCTAGCTGATCAGCTGGAACGTTGCTTTCTAGCCCCGTGGTGATATATTTGTAGGAATCACGGTCAAAGTCATGGACGATCATGCGGATGCACTCGTCCACTCTGGGGTCGAGACACTCGCATTCGAGCACTGTTGCCACTTTATCCCTGTCGAGCTTGAAACCTTTAACAAAAGTCATCGGGAATTATCTGATTTTCAAAATGCGATGAGTAGCTGCGAAGCCAGATGGCGGTGAAGAGTTACCAGTAGAACGATGGCACGCTGCGAGAGTGAACGTTGGGGAGAGAGAGAACCAGGGAAATTGGCCAAGAATGATACGCGAACTGTGAATTTTGACAACCCTGATCCATGAGGCCAACATGAGGCTTTGGATTATGTTGGAATAATGATTCTAAGTTGATTCTAAGAATGATTACACTGCGGATATTTCGAACCCCGACTTACAATCCCTTCCTTCCTAAACAGGGCATGCAGACAACACCTACCAGCGCCTACCGCATGATCAAGACACTCTCTTATCTTTTCTACCATGTCACTCCGGTCGTCTCGATACGTTCAAACTAGCCCCACTGAATATGCCTCGTATCACGACAACGGAAACACCTTCAGAGTTATTATCCACCGCAACATCATCAATCAGAAGAGATATGTTCGCTGTCCCGCCGGATGCGGGCGCTATTCGAAAGTCAACCAGGATGGCATCGCCCCTTTTCTCGCAAGACATCTGGTAGCAAGGTACTGTAGGCAAACAGCCGAGCGTCTCTGCAAGAAGAAGGTCTTGGCCCAGGTCAATCTTGAGGCAGACCTTGCCATGAGGGTTGTTTTTGGCTCAGGCAGTGGTGTTGCAGCTGTGGGTCAGCAAGGTGAGTGCCCGTTATTGTGATTCTAAATATTACTCACACATATTCAGGGGTACTTCATAGTCATAGTGCCCAAGAAGAGACGTCTCTGTCGTCCACGACGACCCCTTGGGTTCGGGCGTCAATTTCCTCAACACCCGCTTTTGCCAGCCCGATCCTTCGTACTCGAGATATCAGTAGTCGGAACAACGACGGTATATACCCTGAGTCTGCGGTGATGATTGTGAGTAATCTCGGGGACTCCTTGCAAGTACATGACGATTTGGTCGAAGCCGTTTCCAGCGTGGACGAATAGTTTCAAGCAGGTCTTCGGCGTCGCAGAGGACCGCGGTTTCAGTGACTCGCTCCAAAGTACGTGTTTCTGGATGCCAATCAAAAGGCGGGCCTGATTGTCGAGTGATAGCGTGCAAAGCCCATTCTTCCACGGTCATGAAGTGGTATTTATGAGCCAAACATGCGACATTCGCAAGCTTCAGTATGTCAGGATCGGAGCGCGACGACATAGCAAGCGTGATCTCTTGAGGTCTGCCATTACATCTGACAGTCAGATAGTTTCTTGATTGGGGATGTATTGGGATCGCACAAAGCATACAAAGACCATAGCAGATCGCTAAACTGCACAGGCGAGTCTCCTTGTAGACAGATAGGGTGGTCATCGACCGCTCCCTCCTCTCCGACGCCTTCCCCTGCCACCTCTGTTTGCGCATGAGCCCCAAGAGAAAACATGTTCTCGAACATGGAACCATCCTGTGCTAGTATGGATCGATGAACCTGGCAAACCCATCCTGTAACTTCGACAGCCAAAACCAGCACCTTTCTTTACGGACCTTGAATAGTGTGTGCGAGACTAAGATTATGGTGTTTCCATCTGCAATGTAGTATCGATTATCTTTGGTTATTGCCTTGGGGAAATCAGACATCTGAAGCCGGTTGATAAGAGACGAATGAATTCAAGGCTAGGTTCGGTGGCCAGTCATTGGTATCAATGATAAAATGAAGGATGGCCGTTGAGAAAGTTTCAAAGACGTGGGAATCAAAAAGATCAGAGATGCCAAGGTGCTACCAGGGCTCGAACCTGGGTTACGGGAAACCAATGTGATGAGTCACTTCAAAATCCCGAGTGATAACCACTACACTATAGCACCATGATACAAAGGCAAACTTGTACATACATATTCCGCAGTCGTGCTCCGATTGCGTGTCTTCTCATCAACCTCTCTCTATATAAGACCAGAAGCACTTCTCAGAAAAGCCACGGCTACTACTTAAGCCTCACCAATGGCTGCAGTAAATCCCACTCACGTTCACTATACGGAATACGCGCCTCCTGTTCTTCGGCCGCCATCTCCAGCCTCGTCTGTGGGGACTACATACGGCCCAGACCAGACCTCGTTTAGCGATAGCGAATACCGTCTGTCTCAGCCAGCATTCGAGCAGAAATGGGAGGAAAAGATACAGCTGAACATGCCACGGAAGGAAGAGCTCGATGCCGACCAGGACCCTTTGCTCACGATCCCTCGCGCTGCTGGGCCAGCGGTACCGATCGCCGAGCGCAAGTTGGAACAGGTCGAAGAGAAGAGTGAGTCTCTTTGGCGACTTTTGACCAGGCTTTTCATGGTCTTATCATGCCATCACTGAGAATAGTGCTCCATGACCGCGTCATGCTCTCACTACGCGCAGCAGTGGCACAACTCGAAGAAAACGAGCTATTCGAACAAGCACTTCTACGCGGTTCCCAAGCCGGCCTCGAAACGCAACCGTCGACGAACGACGTCGATGTCCTTTTGCGGAGCATGATGGGTCCCGGCTTGAATATCAACGCTGGACCTCATATGGGCATGAGCACGGCCCCTCATCGCGGTCCTCGTCCGCCGACGGCAGGATCGGGCATGACGAATGGTCCCTGGAACAATTTTGGGAAGGCGACGGGAGTTGATAGACGGGAGAGTGTGGTGGCGAGCGGTGATAACATGCTCAGCGAGACGACGGTGGGGAAACGGAGTCGCAATGGCTCGAGTCGGAATGCTCGGAATGCTTGATTTGATTTCTGGATTTGAAGAAATCGATTCATTCTTGGATGGTGAGTCGATTATTTCTTTCGTGTTGCTGCATGCCGCTGATGATTCATGTCGCTGAAGCGTTTGGGCGTCCATGCTGTGACATCCATCCGCCGTCCCTCATTCACTCCTTCAATTGGATCACTGCTCGTGCTACGCGGTCCATACGGCGATAGTTCATGGACACGTCATGATACCTGGCACATAGTGTCAAGCAACAATGGGGCATCAGTTGATGCACAACAGGATGCCAAACTTGCTTTCAAAGACTTTCAAGGCCAGTAGCTAACGTAGCCTACCTGACGTTGCAAAGCTGAGTTCATTGCTCGTATATCTTGTTGAACTATGGAGCATGTGTAGAGTGACAAACCCTTTCCTCACTTACCTTCGTCGATGCCAATTAGCTTGCACTCTTCTCATCATGCAAATTGCTATTACCCAGCTGAGCTGTATCATCTGTGCTACTGTCCCAGCCCATTTTCAGTCACAGGTTGCGCAAGGTTTCAAAGAAGGTACCTCGCAGTGTCGACCTATTCAATAGATTCACTGCCTCCCAATTATTCATTCGCATCACCCCTTTTCCATTTCAGATATATGAGGAATCAACTAGGCGTCAAATCGCCGACGAAGACCATCGTTTTTTTGACGCCGCAATGGATATCAGTAACTTTTGATGGTCTGGTCCTGTATGCCATGCCACCTTAATCGTCACTTGGCATGGAAGACTACATACATGTACGAGGTCTCTGACATTGCAGTTGGGCTGTCCTGGCCAATAATCAATAACGAAATATGGTCTGTAAGCCCAATCCCAGGAACGACTGAGATCGGGCCGCAGTTCAACTTGGGAGGGAAGTCCACACAGCAGGTGTTTTAGTCATTTGGAGACAGGCCTCGTCATTTATTTATCAACTCGAATCCCGTAGATCAATCAACCCAAGTTACATTCTTAAGTTCCAAATCGGCCTTCGGGAAATACGTCTTTCCGTCCTCATACCCAGCATCCATTCTCAGCTTTACACTGCGATGCACCCTGACTCCCCGTGAATTCTGCCTTGGAATATGTCTTCCCGATCCCATATTCCATCCAAACCAAGCTGTCCACGCATTATCCTTCGCCTGATATCGGTGTTTCATTGGAACCAACTCCAATATCCACCAAAACCATTTCAAGCTAAGCTGATCATATATAGGAGAAAGGGCGTCCTTTAGCTCTGCTTCTTCTTCCGTTTCTTGGGGTTCGTGATTGATGGCCAAGGCGTGGTCGTCGGAGTCTGCATCGTAGACCAGTGGTTCCCTTTTGGGGATTGGCCGGATGAAGGAGGTCTCAGGCGACGCTTTGTTGATGGGCAGCGCTGGTGGCCGCGGAAGGACGACTGGGTATAGAGAGGCAGGATCAATCCCGATGCTCTGAATCCCTTCCGTGTGGAAGATGATCCCACTATTGGTCTTGAAGCATTCGCGAACCATCCAGCGAAGGGGTATTCTGGCGAGGCAGTATTTAACACCATTCGAAACTGGATTGACTTTTTTGTGAGTTGGGCTTGGATAAACCTGGTGAAAAGCGTACCAGATCCTCCTCCGACGTCTTTGGTTGAAAGCAGAAGTGTTACCGCACGGAAGGCGCTAGTCAGGGAATGGACTTACCACAATGACATCCAGCGAACCACACCTATGAGGTAAACAAGGTCACCTAAAGCTGCAGTACCACCACATGACCATCGTACCTCATCGATATCAGTGGGAATGGTTCTATCCTTTGCATATTTGCCCTCTAGAATCCGGAGGGTATGCTTCCCCGTCCCCAACCTCCCAGCACGAGAATGGCCACGATGCGCTTTAGCTATTTGCTGATCGGTGATGCTCAGAAACTCTTCATCCTTCTTTGGTCGATTCCAAGTATTCGGTAGGAACTTGGCTCTGCGTTCATCCAAAGCGATAGCATGCCTGAAGGTGCGCACCAGCGTGTTGGAGGTGGTGAACGGAAGTCGTCTAGGTATGAGTCCGACAGAGCTGACGGTGTCCCTAATGATGAAAGTGAGCATGTGTTGGGAGAAACAAATAATAAGGAAAGGGGGCGAACCATACGCCGAGGAATTCGATATCGACATCAATAGAGAAGGCCTTTTTGAATGCATTCGATTGTCTCCATCCATGATCATCCGATTGCGTGTACATTTTGTACGCGAAAGGAACCTGCTGATGATTGCAGGTGGGCAGAAGGCCGACCTTGTGGATCATGCCGGCGAGACTGCGATTGCGTTATGAAATGTTAAGGCATAATCACATATCACCTACCTCCGTGCAGTATACGCACCACGCGAGAACCCTAATGGAATGAAAGATAGGTAATGTATGTGTCAAGTGAGTTGTTTGATCACATACCGAAGATGCATATTCTATCGTGTGCACGATCTGGAATCATTTTAACACCTCTAACGTAGTTTTGGCAGGACAGGAATTGCTTACAGTTCTGCATCAGGAACTCGTAACCTCCTGTTGTACAGCGGAGATGAACAACCGCCCTAAGCCATGCAGATAAACAGTCACTAACCCATAATATGAGCATCCAAGTTCCAAGCTACCGCCTCATCAACCGCCTGAATCGTGAGTGAGTGATTCGTCGCCAAGACGCAAAATCTGCTTTGACCTTGCTCATTTTCGCGAACATTGGTGTAGCGATTTCGGGTGACGTATATGTCCCTATTCCTGCCTGCTTACGGTTACACTTTTGTCGACATCTCATCAGAGGCGTCAGACACACCTGATAATACACCAACTGCTTCGAAGGGTCATCTTTCTTCAGCATGCTGAAGAATTCAACGATGTTGGAATTCTGGAGGCGCAATCAGAATCTCTACTCGATTCTGGATATGAAAGGTCTCTCACATCAGAATCGAACCTGGGAAGGAGCGTGAAGAGTTAGAATGTCGGAAGAAGAAGGATTTGATAGAACGTACTGATCACCAGTACCATCAAAGCAAACTACGAGAGTACGAAAGGGGTGGTCCAAGGGTATAGAGGGCGGCATTGCAAGATTAATCTCATCCGTCGGGCTCATCGACTCCACGAATTTGGACGGCGATGGTAAGTTCGTCTCGTCCGTCGCCGTTTCTGTGCTTTCGAACGACAAACCGGTGTCCATTCGCAAATGCTCACCAGCATTACTTGATGCCATCGTCCTCTAGCCTGTAAGTAAGGGAAGGCGGGGAAGGAAGCGATAGGAGGCACATCCCTCCGCAACAGCTAAGCCCTCTATTTATCTAGTTCAAGGCTTTGCTTCTACACTCATTGATAGTCTTTTTGAAGTCTTCCTATGGCAGCTGTGATGTTCATCATCAGAATTATGTACCACGAGGAAGCAGGGGCTCAGATCGCAGATTATGGAAACTCACTACTGTTGCGACATGATTCGATATAATCGATCCGACTATATGAAGCTATATAACAGCTTTTGTCGGAATAGCTTTCTTTCTGATGATAGAGAAGCAGCGCAAGCTTGCGCAATACCTCCAAAGTAATTAATAGAACCTTGTCCGAGTTGATAAAGACTGCTGCATCTCGAACTAACAGAATCGCCTTCGACAGATTTGGTTCCGCATGCGCATTTGGATAGGGCGACGTTGTGCATGTTCCGCTCATTGAAGCTTTGGTCTGGTAGGGCTTACACTAGCAGGCGGAAATGGTGGAAAGGCTTGTTGCGAATGTATTATCTCGTCCATAAGTTGAAGGCCTCATCGATGTCGTTTTCTTCTATTGGCGATTCAGTGATTGTTGACGTATCCGGAGAAAAAGGAAGGTCTCCGAGGCGCCAGTACTCACCCATAGTGCTCATACAAGAGGTTTTTGGGGCCCTGCAGGATGTCCGTATCTGACGACAGCAATCTCAGTGTCCTCAAAGAAGAATGAGTTTAATCAAAGTTTATTACAACTGAGAGTGTTCTTGATGACTTACAATGATTTGAGGGAAGCATGATCTTGGACAAGCCACGTGCTAGCGACGGTGGTGGTCTTTTTTTTTCTTTTTCTTCGTATGTACATGTATTTAGCTGTCAATGTTATCTGCATTGTGTTGTCAATGTTATCCA